ACATGATTCCGTATGATTTTACCTGATTTTCAACTACACGATTGCATACGAAGTTTTACGCGTTGTTGCCAATTTTCATACCGGTATATATACCACATACAGATATAAGGAATAAGGATAGATACCTGTTAATACATAATATAAATAAATAATATTATATTCTAGGCCAAAAAACCGTCTCCACTCAGATTCGTTTTTCGTACACAATGATATTATATCATTGATTCATGGGCGTAATCGTTTTCCGCCAAATTGACCCTAGCCCGTTATCACCATGGCCGTTTTCCGCCAAAGGTTATATTTCCGATTTCCGCCAAAAAAAATAAAAAATTATTATTGAGAACCCCTGAACTGAATCCATCAGCCAGTTATGATTACGATGTGCTCAGTACATCTACTGAGTTTGTCAAAAAAATCTCTTTTCCAGATAGTAAATAATTTGTATAATAATGTATTATTTGAACAACAAACATATGATAATTGTAAAGATTATCGTTTCCGTATGGTTAATATTGAATGTGTACTTTTATATTATTTTAATTTTTATAGTAATGAGTGATGTTTATAATCATAACAATTCGCATATAGTAGACTATGCTTTAGAAAATACGCTGGGTATACCTAAATAGTCGAATAATAATACTTTATAATAGTCGTAAGATAAGAATTAGATAGGTAATATAGTTTATGATCAATATCTGTGTGAGCCATGAGGTGAGCTGGCGCGTGTATGATACAAGGTGAGGAGCTTACTTGGTATCTGGATTCAGTTCAGGGGTTCTCAAAAATAATTTATTAATTTTTTTTGGCGGAAACGGCCATGGTGATAACGGGCTAGGGTCCTTTTGGCGGAAAACGGAAACCCCCGAATTCATAATTAATACCATCCCTCATAGTGGCCCACTTGTAACATACTATACAGCAGAASGTCACCTATGTGCGTCCCTAACAAAAATGATCCTTTTTTAATGTTCCTATAGTGCGTCCAGAATAAAATATCATCCGAGTGTGTCCCAAGAAAAAAAAGGTCATAATGTTTACATAGCCCGAATGCGTCCCCAGTTCATTTAGAATTACCCAGGGTGCACCACTAGGAGGTGAACTGGCTTATACCCCAAAAATATTATTTTTATTATTATTATTATTAATTTATTTTAGCTTAAACTGTTAAGTTTAGGTGAGCGTACAATTTATTAAAAAATTGTTTGTTATTATAATATATATTTATTATTTATATAGGCTGGTGTTTAAATGCCATTATTTGACAAAATCGAATCTTGATATTTTATTACTTTGAAATTATTTTATATTGTCTTCGATGTAAGTAATTCTCTTGCACGTACTTTCCTTTGTTTTTTTTGGTATTTGTGTGGCCGTTCGGATTGCTATTTTAGTATCAATTTGAATTTTTTTAAATATTTCCAAAAATGCATATGTGTCTGGGTGGTGTGTATAAAATAATGAGTTSTACTTGGAATGAAAGCTTTCACAAGCAAATTGTTGTTCTTTCAGAAYTACTATTCATTTMRGCCCACATGRAAATGGGAAATTTTCTATAATGTAATCCATAAATTCGTTGAGTTTTTCATATTTCGGCATTATAGATACAAAATCTTCAATAATATACAGTTTTCTACATCTTCTAGRTTTAATAATGGTAAACYAAATWTATTTTTCAAAAATAAACCTTTTTCTGTTTGGTTGCGATAATCTTTATTCAACCCCAAATGTTGAATGTGACGCCACCATGCTTGTCCCAAATGGAAACAACATCCTTAAATTATTATAGTTGGCCAAACTTTTAATGCACTGAGATGAATAGATAATTCAAAATCCGCAAATATATATTCGGGAGAACAACATAAATTTAATTAAAAATATTCAGTTTTTAATATATTAAAACATTTTGCATATGATTCGCATTTTTTATTATTAAGTAAAAAATAAACTAAAGGTATGTAATGACCATTACTTAAGCCGTGTATTGTAAATAATTGTAAAAAAAATAAAGTACAATACTTTTATCTTAAATAGATACATATTAACTATAGTAGTTGTGGACCGAGGACGCACTCGGTCTATTCATTATAATTTGTCGATAAGACTGCGGACGCACTCGGGCTATAAAAAAGGTAAAAATTAAAAACGGGACGCACTTGGGATATCCCCCTGATTTTTATTTTATTGATTAAGATTACAAATTGCAGTTCAACAATGGATGAAACCTTCCATTCTARCGAAAAATACGATATTTTTATTTTTTTAAACAGGTATTATGAAAGTATAGGTACTTGGTTAGTGATATGAATGGATTTTCCAAAAGATAAACAATGCGATGTAGTTGGGATTAACAGTTTTGACAGTTCAGTATTTTATATACTCCCATAGATAATATAGAATGAATAGGCCATCCTATATTTAMAATACAAGGGGTCACGGTCCGGAATGTGGATGAGAGATAGATTGCTTTTATATAACACACTCAAGAGGTTTTATCATTAGTTTTATTTGATAATGATAATAGAAGATATCTGTGATAATATGATTATGACAAATATTTTTTATTGTTAATGCATTTTATTTTTTAAATTAGTTAATTATTTAATATTTTTAAAAATTGAAATTTAAGTGTTCCCTATTCCGTACGATCTATTATTTTGTCTGCGAGATATGGTTCGTACTTGCATTGTTTGTCGGTTGTCTTCAAAAGTCTTCTTAAACTTGACTTTTTGATGATTGATAAGACTTCGTGTAACCTCGAAATAAATGTTATAATGGCCTATCCATTCTATACTATATAATTATAATATGTATACACCACACGTAGCACACCGTTGTGTTGCCRAGGTGTGAATCTTTCAGGCGTTCATATTATTATTTTTATTTTTTTCACGGTTTAGTTTGAATCACAGATTCGTTCAATCACACCTCGATGTGGTTACCAAGTAGTCATTGTACATTTCTAACCTGAAGACGCATTTTGGCCAAAACGGTCGATTCTAATGAATCTATTCACTGTGTACAAATAATACTCAGATAATTACATAACATAATAATATTATATCTTTGNAATACAAGGGGTCACGGTCCGGAATGTGGATGAGAGATAGATTGCTTTTATATAACACACTCAAGAGGTTTTATCATTAGTTTTATTTGATAATGATAATAGAAGATATCTGTGATAATATGATTATGACAAATATTTTTTATTGTTAATGCATTTTATTTTTTAAATTAGTTAATTATTTAATATTTTTAAAAATTGAAATTTAAGTGTTCCCTATTCCGTACGATCTATTATTTTGTCTGCGAGATATGGTTCGTACTTGCATTGTTTGTCGGTTGTCTTCAAAAGTCTTCTTAAACTTGACTTTTTGATGATTGATAAGACTTCGTGTAACCTCGAAATAAATGTTATAATGGCCTATCCATTCTATACTATATAATTATAATATGTATACACCACACGTAGCACACCGTTGTGTTGCCRAGGTGTGAATCTTTCAGGCGTTCATATTATTATTTTTATTTTTTTCACGGTTTAGTTTGAATCACAGATTCGTTCAATCACACCTCGATGTGGTTACCAAGTAGTCATTGTACATTTCTAACCTGAAGACGCATTTTGGCCAAAACGGTCGATTCTAATGAATCTATTCACTGTGTACAAATAATACTCAGATAATTACATAACATAATAATATTATATCTTTGTTAAATCATATTTATTTTTTAATATCGAATTGTTTATGTTCCTAGAAGATTCTTCGTGTCTTATATTAAGTAATTATATAAATCGTACACTTTTCAGGTTATAGAAAAAAAAAAAAAAATGAAACCTAAATTTTGAATATTACGTAGAAACTTAATAAAGGTTTGCTTTAATAACTTTAAAGCTTAAATAAAGTTTTGGTATCACAATTTTTTCCGAAAGCAATGGTTTATCATTGCTTTTAAATTTATAAGAAAAACCCATCTTTGCTTTTCTCGACTGAAGTCAATGAACGGAAATGTRTGTACACGTGTCAAGTCCAATACCTGTGCTCACTTTGTCTTTGTAATTTATAAAGGGGCTCCGTCACTACTGTCAATTTTAACTCAAAATACCTATAGTTTTGACATAATTAATGTTAATTTTTGTTGTTCAATTTTCACTCTATAAAAAAATTGACTTCACCAGAAAATTCGGTACGAAATATCGTACGAAATATTTTGTAAAATTAAATTTTATATTAATGCGAATTGTAATTGAAAACTTGAAAATATGAATTTATTTGTTCAAAATTTCAAATCATAATTAAAATTAGAAATGGAAACTGTTTMATACGATCTGCAGACATTTTTCTTCTGAATTTAAATATTTTTTCAAAATCAAAATCAGGCAACGTTAACTAATTTCATTTTGTCAAAATAATATAAGTAAGTTTTCGTAGAATTCGTATAGTGAATTTCATATTGTTATTATCTTATCGAATTATTGGCATGTGCTTGAACGTACAAGAGACTCTAGTCTAGAGTGGTAACTGTATTAAATTTCACTCACGATAATAATCATTTACAACTAACCCATAKTGACTAAGACGAGACTAGAAATTGCCTAAATGTTGCCCCTCTATTAATAATATCCGTATAGTGAGGTCACATAATAATATTATCTACCTTATAACTTTACAAACAATGTTAGTTAAATATAATTTCAATATCTATTTTAAAAACGAGTCAAGTTTTAATAATTTTTTACAAAACTAAAATAATTATAACTTATAAGTAATTTATTGTGTTTATTCATAATAATAAATTAATTACATTCGCTTTTTAGGGTCGTCCATTTTTTCYGTCTTAACGGAGTTTCTGACTTAACGGGGGGTTTACATTCATTATGAATCCGGTCCAAAGAAATTGTTCGTATTATTGAGTTTTCAGTCTTACCGAAGTTTTACTGTATTTGAATTTATAGTAATATCATAAATATTGTATTACTTATGTAATACCCTTACCTAATTCCAACTTATAAGCTCTTTGGTCTTTTAATGGCATTCTGTATCGAAGATCATTGTCAACCATGTTTCTATCAGGAGCATGAAATTGAAACCTAAGTTGTGGGTCTTCAATACGGAAGTTTTTGATTTTTCCGGACAACGTCTTTTGAGGTGCTCCGCCTCCTGGTCTTCCCATTTTTGTCACTTCGTTACTAATTTCCTAAAATCGTCTTTAGCAATTATTTTATTTTATGATTGTTATACCTTATAATATTATTCATTTATAGCTAAATGTAACRAAATATGTATATTATGTTAATTGAAAATTATACTGATGATATTTTAAGGTATCTATTTACTTGGATTAATTCAATAAATTATTTTGTAATGTAAAG